ATAATAATAATAATAATAATAATAATAATAATAATAATAATAATAATAATAATAATAATAATAATAATAATAATAATTTCCTTTCTTTTTGACAACAAGCCCTTGATCCAAGTTCGGTGGAAACATGCGCTTTACCTTTAACATATGGCATTTGTTCTCCCGCGCCGTATTCACCATCTCTTCACTCGTCCTATCACAATAATTCATCTGAGACAGTTCCTCTGTTTAGAGCAATAATTTCTAGAGGTCAGCTAGTCCACATAAATACCATCTATTCAACGACGGTTAAGGTGGATTATCCGGAACAAGAAGAGCTCGAAGTGAAGTTATATACTAGTAAGAAAGAGAACGTAACGTATTGTGATGAGGAGGAAGTTCAGCTGTATGGAACTCTTACTGTGGTAAATATATCGAAACAAACAAATTAACAGAACTTCTGAATATATCCATTTAAAATACTAATGTAATTACTTTTCGCGATTGCTAATTTCGCTTAATAGGATCTTCCAGATACAGAGTATGGCTTAGACCGAGAGATTGATATCCAGCTATTCGTTGGTGACGTGAGCATGACGGTAACGGCGTATAACAAGAAGAAGGGAGAACCTTATGAATCTGCATTTGAATTGAATAAATGTGCTTTAAATGAGTTACTATCATAATCAAATCAGGTATAAAAATATATTACCAAAAATATATTCTATTACAGTATATGTACGTAAGAGGTTTTACGTAAAGTCTTTGAGTTGCAGTGGCGGAATAAAATTATTATGTAATAATAACACGGACAATTTTTACGCGACGATTTGTAAATTATTTTTTTTGTTTGTTTTATTTGCTTTGTTTTTTTGTCCTGGAAATACTCTATTTAATATGATTGTCTCAACAACATTTAACAAAAGCATTGTTTAAAAATTAAGATCCTCCTCCTTCATACACAGTGGCTCTCTTTATAGTGGAGACACAAAATCCAACAGTTTTCTACACTATAACGAAAAAAGAAATCTCACCATATAGTGTATTTAATAATATATCATGTGACATACACTATAGCGAATTCGATTAAAAAGCGGTTTATTATCTTTTATTATTAACAAACAATCTCACACATTGTCTAAAATAATAGAAACTCTCGTATTATTATAGTTCTCTTAGTTCTTTATAACAAGTAATAGGCCTTGCTTTATTATTTTTTGTCAATTACATACTTTGCCCCAGTCAAGGCAACACGATCTTTGAATGTTTTTTGACCACCTCTATCCTAGACTGTGAGAGAGCCATATCAACTGTCTGTTCATCCATAACAAAGAAGAAAAAACTTTCTTCGTTCTAATCTGACTAATCATTACCCCCTCCACTATATCGAACGAAAATCCACAATATAGCGATTTCGCACTACATACACTATATGGACTATAATTAATCAAGCATATTTCCTCCACTAAGAAATCTGCATAGTTTCTATATAAATACACTATATAGAGCTAGTTTAATTAGGAGAAAAAAAGTTTCCAACATGAAATCCACTGTAACTGAGGTCCACTATAAAGAGAGCCACCGTGTATAATAAAATTTATATTTCTTGTTATTATTATTTCCACTTGGCTAAAGTTTGCTTTGTCACTCGAGTAACCCAACAATACGCGCTTTTAGATTTCAAGCTTATGAGTCTTGTTGGCGAGGAAACCCTCACCAAAAAGTTTTCTATTTTGCTAATGTGAGGAGCAAAAATCGAGGAACCGCAAACTACAAATTGTTACGCGACAAGAAATACATAACAACATCCGTTCGCACAACAGTTAACGTAACAGACTATCAGATATAATGACATTGATGTATATATTATCTTTACAATGCATAAACTGTTTCAACTAATTATTTTGTGAGTTCTACGGGTCACATACAGGTAATTAGTACAGTGAACCCTCCATGAATGCACATCCTCCACCATAGGTCCACCGGTGATACCAGTAATGTTACGGTAAGAAATTACACTAAATTTGTACAGACAAAAATCAAATAAAGAAATTTCTGTGCGCACGATTAAGTCGACACGTTCTAAGTTATCGTCACATTTATATTAATCAATATTAATATCTAACAACGAACAGCCAAGAATTAACAAAGAATGTTGATTTTTAAGTAACCCCGAAGAACAGGAGGTTTATGTGATTTCTGACAATAAAAAACTTGTTGAATTATATAGGAAACAGTCAGATTTACCTACTAATAGCATAGCGAGGAAGCCAATGACAGTACTGAGCCCGAAATAGCCTGTGTTAACGAGGCTTCAAAAAGCTTAGAAATAGTGTATATCTTTTTACAACAACAAGATAATGCTGAGAAATTGTTCAAAGACGTCAAAGCTCTTGGTAAATACAGACTACGATGAATCAATTTTTTGATAATAAATAACAACTAAATGCACACCCTCCATAAATGCACGCTTCCTCCATCCCCGAGGGCGTGCATTTACGGAGGGTTCACTGTAACTTGAATTATTTGTTTTACTTGCTTCGTTCAAACAATAATACAAACATTTCTATATTTATAGTTCAAAATTCCAGAACATTATTGTTGTATGTCAGATCGGAATTATTGCATAACGTATGGGCATAGTTTGCAATCCAGTGTCAAATTCCTGGACATGTCTGTCTTACACTAATATTAGTTAATTATCTTTGTAAATTCCTTACGATTATGCTTTGGTATTTATCCAACTGTGCAAGAGATGAGTGTTTGGTTACATATCGTAAACCACGATTTCCAATGTCATAGGGGCAACAGCTATATTATTAACGGCTGTTCCGTATTCCAATAACTAATCTATGAGCGTTAGTTATTATCCAGTTAATGCGCTTAATTTTAAAAACAATCGTACTGATAAACATTTTTTTTCGCCTGCTTTCTTTCCTTCCTTGTTCGGATTAGTTGCGCTAATATTTCCAGATACAGTCATAGATCTACGTAACTTGTAATCAACTTAGCAGAGTTTTTTGGGGTTTAGTTGTTTGGTTTTAAGTGTCGTGGTAGTATCAATGTTGTATTTCTGTTTTCTTATGCAATAGCGGATATTAATTGAGTTCTCTCTACAATATTATCGAATCAGTTGTTGTACTGTAAGAAAAAATCTGTTGAAGTGGTCGTCATAGTATTTAAGCATCGAGCAGTTTATAATGCGAATATTAATTAGCCAAGCCATATAGCAGCCGAGTGTCGAAGTATCCGATCAGACATACAGCATAGGCCATAATATCATATAGTTCACATTCCAACATTATTACTAATCTTCTGTTTTATTATTAATATAGATGTTATACCTATCAGACATACAACATAGGCCATAATATGATATAGTTCACATCCCAATATTACTGTATTACTAATTTTCTGTTTTACTATTAATATTAATATTAATATACACTACCAAATTCAAAAATCTGTATTGGCGTTATTACTAAAAATTTTTACATCGTTATGAAGCTGATTGACTATACTTTTTTAGGGAAAAATAATAAAGAATTTAAACCTTTCATTATTATCAAAGCTGCAGTTCGATGAAGTGGCAGTAATATGTTATACATACATTTTTCATACGATTACATACGTTTAACCTACATATCGTTATTTCACCGAAGCACGGTATGATAAGTTGTGTAAATTTATCAGCATTTTATTCGAAAACTGCAGTCAATCAGCTTCATAACAATATAAAAATTTTTGTTGTTTGTTTAGTAAATAACGCCAATACAAATTTTTGAAAAATTGAATTTTTCATATGTTTTGCTATCGATCGACAAATTTCGGCAAATACTTTTTGGTATCGAGTGTAGCGATCAGACATTGTCTGTTTCATCTGACATGCGTCCATTCTGAACTGACATACAACAATAGAATGGTTTCCGAATTTTCTAGTGACGTGAAACAATGTGATGCGTACAGTCTCACCGAAAAGATTTTTTTTTTCTAATCACACAGCGCGCAACAGAAAAAGATAAACTATTCCATAGCTTTTCACTGAAACCTATTCAGAGGAATAACTGATAAGAGCGCCAGAAATAGTAATGATCACAAAGTTACCGTATTTGTCTCTTTCTTTCAAAGTTGTAAGAAGCATTTACAGAGCAACTATTACTATTATGTGTAATAATTATAATAATAATTTGTACGCTCATTAGCTGAATGGCATTCGAAAATGTAGCAACAAAATTCATATTTTACATACGCTTGATCGTTGAGTCGTATGATTGATCATATTGAGTATGCAAATACAGAATCGTAAATCAGACGATCCGCAACTCATCCTCACTAACCCATAAATTATTAATCACCAACATGTTTGAACAGTTTACCTAATGGAGATTGATTCTTGCCTTTCTTTATAGCGAAAAGGTTTACGATGTAACCTATATAGTTGACTTGAAGCGAGTCCTAAAACAAGCTATTTGACAAAATCTTATTTATTAAAGTCATATACATATGCTAACAATGCGTAACTATCCCTATTTAGGCATTACTCGGGACAGGTTATATACCTTGCACACGACAAGCTTAAAATCGTCCCGTTTGTAAGGCTATGGATTTACTGTTTGGCCGACACACACGGATTACCACTAATGCATGAAACGCGATGTTGACATCCTGTATGTACTTGTCCGCAAACGGTTAAACAGATATAATAATAGACAGTAACTATTACACAGGTGCTCTTAGTATTAGAAGAATCAAGACCATAATATTATAATCTGAGTGTGATGTGTCAAGCCCCAACCTCAAATTCTAATTAGCATTTCATTTTATTTACTGGGCGTTGCGTCCTTTTACAACAAATTTAGGGAATAATGAAACATGAAGCACACTAGCTCTATCCCTTGCCTAAATAGAAAATTGATGTCTGCTCGTGCAGCCCGTGCTTCATATCTTTTTAATAAAGCTTTTTTTATCTCATTATAATCTTATAGGTTACTTTGTATTGTAACAAGGGAAAGATGATACCTACGTTTCACAGTAACAGGTAAATTACTACACGCTATAATTAGTTAAACCACCATGACCGTAAAGTATTAGACTCAACGGGAAGTATTAAAGAATCAAGATGGGAAGGTTATCATAAAATAAGTTTGTCCGATTAATCGCTTATTTGGTTAGCGCGTATGCTCTATCACCATTTCGTTGAGACAGCTTATCAATTAATTATGAGCCGATCAGTAAACCGCTCGTTTTTCTTTGTACGGATATCACACTGTACCACAAGTTACAGTCATTGCCATGTGGACATACAAAGTATCGTGACCACAATCAGCTCGTTAGATATTAACATAGCATTGTCATATAACCAGTATCGGCCGTTGTGTGTTTGAGATGGTTTTTGATATCGACCGCTTTTATTTACTGTATTTAGCATTCTTTACAAGTCCAATTCTTTGGTTACTATTATGCACCTCACCCCACATATAGTTGATGTTTGTTATGCGCCGCTATGCAGTTTGTATGTGCTTTCTCCTTTCCCCCGGCTTTTAACACTAGCTAGCAATTAATACGGGACTTGGAATCTATTTACCAAATGGTATAATAATAATATGCGTATCGTAAAACTGACAATCCGGAATCTTCGAAACTTGCTGCTCGCCCTTCACACGCTATTTATTGCCTTATTAGGATCGATTGACTGTGGATCGGCCTTACGATTGTTACAGTTACTTCTTTCAACCGAACTTTTAATTAGGCTTATGTGCATGATGTGTGCTTCAATTTTTCCTATTGGCGTAAGTGCCAATTTCGCATTCTCTTGTTAGTTAAAGATAGCGATCAAATACAATTCTCAACTTGGTCATCATGCGGCGGCTATTTATACAGCATACTACATTCTCTATACTTTGTTTGGGTTTCGGATTTCTTTTATATTGTACCTGAAACCAATCAACCACCCATCCAACTCTTTTCACATCCTTCCTTCCTCTTTGTTTGCTCCCCTGTTTCAAATTCCCAACAATAAGAACGTTTCGGTTCAATATAAATTACCTCAACGGCCCCAAGTTTCTGCACATTAATCGAATATAGATTAATAAATTAGAGTGAGTATGTGTGTTTTGCAGCAAATGATAATTGTATGCGTGACGGGGTGGGTGGGTGTATGTCCTTGTCCTTGTCCTTGTCCTTGTTCTTAATTTCTTAACTTCTCAAATTTAATAGGAGTCGAAACCAGTTCTTCTCAAAGTCGAGGAGTAGGCCGAATTAACTAAGATATTATTTGACTCACATCACACTTCATCAACCGCAGGCTGAAAGCGTTGTCTTGACGACTGCTTTCTTTCGGTTGAGTAGTCAAATAATAAGATTTTATTGTTGCTACAAGAAGTGTGAAAAATATCTTGGTTGAGAGCGAGGGAAAACAAGAGGAACGCAGGGCATAGTAACCTGTCATCGGAATACTAGCAAATCGGCCTTATCAGGATAATGCTGATACATTAACAAACAGTAAAATACATCAATACACTATCCCATAGAATATCCATAGAGTATACATACATACGCATATACATACACACATATATATCGGAACTGCACTACGGGCAAAATCTGATTAATCTCATAATCTCATTACACTACATTGCAAAAATAATAATGGCTCTGAGCATTCATAAACAGTCATCTTTGTCTTCCGTCTTCCTCTACACTCTTCTTGTCTTCCTCCACCGATCATTAACCGTCTCGGCAGTGCCGATTGGATCACTCGACACTACTACCGTATTTGCGAAACGGGGCCCGGACGGTGAATCAGATGCAAGTGACGGCAACGAAAATGAACGTAAGAACATTATACAATTGGTCGTCATTATGCTTGTTGTAGCAGCTGTTCTAGGCAGCTTACTTGCTGGATGGTCTGGTATTAAATGGATTATGAGAAGGAGGGCTGACAAGATTCAGGTATGTCCAATGAATGGAGCTAAAGAGGGGGAGGGATGGAGAGAGAAGAGAGAGAATGCATACGCTTTTCCGTAAAAATATTATCAGTTTCAGTAATTCTAATCTTTTAACGTTCATCAATAAACAGCATCAGGCAGATTTCACCAATTCAACGGAAACCTCCCGCATGACGCCGCTCGAAACAATCGATCTTACTCCACCATCGCCATCCCATATAAAATCATCACGTTCATCGCGCTGTTCCGATACTTGGGAACGGTATTTGAACATGATTCAAACGCCTGCTAGACTAAACCAAGCTGTTAAAGCGATGAAGAGTCAAAACCCAGGTCGATGGAATAAAATCAAGGATGATATGGAAGAAAGCAAGGACGGAAGTTTTTAAAGAAGAAAAAGAGATGATGCAACGAAGAGCGTTCGTCTACTTTTTTAACGAAATTCCCATCATATTCGCTTTCCTTTTTTATTTCATATTCTGTTTATGATACAATACTCTCACTTCACCTTATAATTTCCTCCGATATATATATTCTCATGGACACTTGTATATTTCCTTATTCCCGCTCCAGATTCGTAGTATTACCAAATAATTTGTGTATGAACTTAATCGTTTTGTAATTGATGGTTTGTTAATGCATGTATTAGTAGTATGTCTTTTGTAAAACGATCATTATTTATCCTGTAATGTCAGAGATAGATAAGTCGTTTGTAGGCCTTTTACTCTCCTTTCCCAATATGGATGACGAATAAAGCTCTCGCATTATTGCTAGTGTTGACCGGTTTTATGCCGAAAATAATAGTATGGATTTGATGTGAAGCAAGCAAACTTTGAGTTAAACATTAATAAGAATTGTCATTAATGTCAAATCATGATTATGGATAAGGCGCGTTAATCTTTATTACGCGTAATTGCATTATCATTTTGAAATTTGGAATACAAGCTACACTGCAAGGTTACAGTACTTCCACGACTGTGTCATTAATGTAAAGGAAAGGCATTTCACGTTTCATTAAACGAGTACTAATGCAAAAAGTCATACGACACATACGCGCAAACGATAGCATATCATGCATAGTATTTATAGCCTTTATCACAGAGACCCAATCTTTCGGTTTTGATATCCAAGGTATGCGTTGTTGTGGATAAGATTTCTTACATCTATTCGAGCATTATTGTTTCATGAAAGGTATTATTTTGGATTCTTAACGAAAGGGGAAGGATAATTTACATCATGTTCATCGTGAACCACCCTCTTAGTAAGCTATAAAGCAATTGTATGTCAATATTAAATCTATAATGCCAAGAACGCTTGAGATGCTGACACAAGCTAGTTGCGGTATAAACGCAGAACTATATATCGTTCAATCAACTTTTGTCACCCGAGACCGCGCGCGTTGAAGAAGTTTCTTTGTCACAGACAATGTAACTCTACGCAATTTCCTGAAAGATTAAACACGATGCCAATTATTTCTTTCAAAAGCTAAACGCTGAAGTGATTGCTTCACAGCAAGTCAAAAAGAAAGCAAAATTAGTAAAGGAATGAAAACGGGTTCTTTTTTTAACCACCTCTCGCTAATTTTACGGGGGTACAAATAGTACGCCTACTTTTATTACAATAAGACTGCTCTTATTTCTTCCTGTCCTCAGTAAAGAAACAGACTGGCGGGGCGTTTAGAGTTTTCATCAGCAGCCCCACCCCCTCTCCCCTGCAATACGAGATGTCAACAATATAGTTTATTCTCCCACACGAGTTAAAAATCGGCTTGAACCGTGCCTATCTTGTTATGGTTATATCATATCAAAAGCCTCACTCCCTTTGTATTTGAATAATACGCTAATTGAGCATATTGTGTATTGACAGGTTCGTTACACCAAGTGTTTCAATGACATATTACGATTAGGAAATTACAATAAAGATCAAAAGAAACCTTTGTACTTGACATAGCATACAATTAATACATTGTTTGAAATGACTGCATAGACGTTTCTATATTTAATATTAACTTTACCCAAGCAAAATTCGTTCTATTGATAAAGAAGCGATAGTAGTAATTATTTGTTGCGTAAATACCTTTTAAGGGCAGGATACATTCTGGCCACATAAATATAAATAATAAGCACGATATTTCAAAATAGATTCTAACCCGAATGTCGATTATTGTCGTAATTTTTATAATATTCTGATATACGCTTGTTTGTCTGTTAATTGCTTGGTAAGCTGTGGGGTTATTCTATAATAGTATAACGTAACCTTACATATGTCATAGACTTGATTATTTATTATAAATAAACGATTTATATTCGCCATTAAGAGTGAGGCGGAATATGGTTATGTAATGAAGAATCTAATATGCAAATCTGTATATGTTTATCGAACACTGACTTTTAATTTGTGTAAAAATAACAAGTTCTTAACTAAAATGGTATACGCACGCATTGTAAGACATCGGGCGGTTTAGAAATATTGCACGTGTATGGAAACCAATCATATGTGGGCTGACTATAAGCTCGGGTAGATCTTTTCTTGTTTTCCCAAATTAAGTGTATAGAATAGATTATTATAAACCTACAGATGCCACGCGCACAACTGTACAAGCACTAAAATGATACGAAAAAGGTAAGTTTTATGTAAAAAACCCACTTCTTATTCAAACCCCGCTAGCAATGATGTTGCTACATAAGTTAAAGAGAATGAATTTATTTGATATTGACACTGAGCCTATAAATCAGAGTGGATGGCGTTTCAGTTTGAATTTATTGCTTATTGTCTAAGTTGAAGCGACTTTGAGTAATAATTGGGACCGGTATTAATATTTCTTATTATAAAAACTAAATCTACTTCAAGTACTTAATGAGAAGAGGAAGAGGGACGCTTCTGTAACAGTCGACAAAAAATCGTTTGCTTTACTAAACACTATTCATTGAACAAAATTATACCCTTCAAAAAAAGCTTGTAAGAATATGTAACGGACCACATATTCTTTGACTCTACATTATTATATGCTGTAAACAAGAACGTAAGAATAGTGGCCATTGATTTGCGCATTTGAATAATAGCTTTAAAGAAGAAAATATAATGTTTGAAAGTTACTAGAGAAGTAAGCATAAAAGGAATGACAACCATGTTCAAAATTGGGTAATAAAGCAATTTTAGTCACTATAAACACATAGTGTTTGAAAAACTAATACTAAAAAAATTCTTTATATAATTACAATCTCTTATAAACACGTTTTGACAGTAATAAAAAGAGTCGACTCTTAACAGGCAACACATTATTCTAAAGCTTCTAATTATAATTTTTGGCACTGTTAACTAAATTATACTATCCCTCCTTATAGTCACACCATCGGTGCATGCTAAATCAATGGGAGTGTGACTATATAAGAGGGTCACAGTATTTACCGTATTCTTCCGAAAATAAGCAACATTTTTCTGTTATAGTGTTGCTTATTTTCGGGTAGTTTAATAAAATGAAAGAAATTCCCACTGAATTATGTGATTTCTGTCGATAATACCACTGACTCCGTTATTAGCGAGGATGATATCATTGACATCATTGATGAGACGGATTAATCATTTTCTTTATTGTAAACAATAATAATAAAATAAAATAACCAATTAAATACATTTATAAAGGTAAATTATTTATTCTGAAGTGTTGCTTATTTTCGGGTGTTGCTTATTTTCCAAAGAATACGGTATGACGTATATTTACATAGAGTGTCGCAAAGTTTACATAATAATGATTTATTATATTCGCGTACACAGTAATTATTTCTCCAAATAACAATCTAGCAATGATTGCTTTTTTGCTTTATCTATCAAATATTCAAAGTAGATATTTTGCGATGCAGAA